CAAGATTTAAAATAATTAAGGCCCACCAATCAAGGATTATTAATAATCAGTATTCTAAAAAGCGTGTTTAGACGGTGTCAAGCCACTTGGTATTTAGCAATCAACGGCAATATGTTGACTGATAAAGCGCTCCTAGGCTCACATTATTATCTTTTGTTAATTTTTTAATTTTTAGTGTGCTTAGACGGTGCCAAGCCACTTGGTATTTAGCAATCAATGGCAATATGTTGACTCATAAAGCGCTCCTAGGCTCACATTATTATCTTTTGTTAATTTTTTAATTTTTTTTTTATACAATTCTTTTAAGTTAAAACTTAAAGGTTGATTTCTTCACTTCGTCCGCCATATATTCAAAATAATAGCTTGAAACCTTGAACAAAGGAAAGCCCCCAAAATTTTCTATTTATTTACTATTTAATATTTACATTTGAAACTTATATTTTTGTTAGAAATTTTGAAAAAATGTATAAAGTTTATATAAATCTGTTTTAGATATATTGTAGGTATTATTTTTAATTATTAAATAATTTTTTGATAGATTAAAAATTAAAATAATATTGAAATAAGAAAACGTCTTTTTACACTTTTTTAAGCTTATGCTTCGCCTAAACTTGTCTAGCTCATATCTTGGTCTCTACGCATTATGCCTTTTAGAATATTGTTAATAATTATCGCCTGCACAATTTTACATGAACTGACCAAATATTACAATAGAAAATAATTTAAATTTAAAGGAAGAATGGAAGTAAAAAATCACTTCTTCTTTATTTCTTTCTTTTTTGGGCAAATCACTCTCCAGTTGTGGCAGATGGTCCAGATCATGCATTATTGCATATAGTAATTGAACATACAGCACAAAAACATGATCTTCAAGATATGGATTATGCATATCTAGGTGTAACAATAGAGCATAAAGTTTATAATGCATACTATTGATGCTTACAAAAGTTGGCATAGCAACGGTGTAACAATAAAGCAAGAAGTTTATAATACAAAAAGTTTAGTTTTGAACAAAATTTGCTGCAATTGCTTATTTAGATATACAAATGAAAACTATAAAATTAATATAAAAAATAGAAGCACTTGTATTGTTTGAGAGTTTAGAAATTAAAGAACTGACTGGTGAGATTCAATTAAAAAAAAATAAAAATGTCAAATAGAAGAAGTAAAAGTGTCACGTAACAAACATTTGTGGTACTATAACTGGAAAAAATTAGGAAGTTTGATTATTGATAATGAACTGAGCACCATTGACTATTGCCAACAACATCACAATCTGCATTGCCATCGACAATCGCTTATAGATGTGCATTGATGATCACTAATGTTATTGCTATAAACGATTTCTTCCAAATGATAGATTAATATTGTAATTAGATATTATCTATGATTTTGTCGGTGATCATTTTTATGTGTCAATTTACTGATGACACTGCTATCGATAATTATATCTGAATCATCATTTGATATTATTTTCATCAAGTACTATTGATGCTTCTATCAGTGATCGTTCTTTTCATTTAAATTATTTTTTCCAGTTAAATTAATTATTTTTATATGATTCAAAGTAAAAATATAGAAATAAATAAAATAACATAATTCAGGACCGGTTCGAGTAATTTGGGATTAGAATGTTACTATTCATTTTTCAATCTCATTCAGATCAGGATATTGCAGGATAGATCGAGAGAACTATTTCACATATGAATTTAAATGAATAATATATTTTCACTTTGAGATATCCAATCATATAATAGTTTCAATTACAGTATAAAATCAAAATAAGATGTAGTTTTTACATCACAACAACGATCCGATGCACTCATGGGAAAATAATTGCGAAAAATTCAATGTAAAGATTTTATCGACCATTGTGGCATTTTCTTTTTCTGGAACAAAAAATTATTGGAAAATTTGTCTTTAACTTTATTTTTGTCACTTACCAACATGAAAGATAGAAAAAGTCTATAAAATAAATATAAATTAAAAGGAAAAGTCATCTCTTACAATTAAATTTATTTTTTCTTCGACTATTAAATCACTGATTGAAAAGCTAGATGATTAGACAAACTTGTTTATTTAACTCATATTTTTAACTAGCTTCGCGAACGTATTAGATTCATTTTTCATCAAAGCCAGATGCTCTCATAAGAAATCATCTATTGGACTTATAAAGTAGAGAAATTTGAAAATTAAATTATTGGTAACTGGATCACTCTAATCCATAATAAATTATGTACATAACTTTCAATTTTTCATCTGTGAGTCATTTGTTTCTTGCCATAAAAGGCCAAAATCATGCTCTTCCATTAATGGAGTTTCATAACTAATCTGTGAATAAAATTTTAGCCCATCAAATTCTGTCATTGCATCCATCTCTTGTTCATAGGAACCCATGTACCAACTTGCCATGCCACTAGTAGGTGAAGAAGGGACCATCTCCAAATCCATCCATTGGAAGTCGAGATCATGCAATTTTGAGAAATTTTGCTCATTTGTTGACTCATCACTTGATGATTGGCACTCTATTGGATCACTCTCCAATTTGAGATTATTAGATAAATAACAATCTGTATTGTTGGGCGCGATTTCAGCCTCTAGAGATCTGATCACATTTGTTAATCTTTCATCATCACAATCTTCGTTATGTGATTCATCGAGTAGAGACATGAGAATGTTCTGATCAATATATGAACTTTCATTGTTGATGAAATCATCGTAACAAACAATGGATTCCCAATTATCAGCTACCATAGAGGCCATGATCTTTAAGAAATATAGATACTGAGGAAGAGAATTGAGTAAAAGGAAGTTTGAAAGGTTTTTTGCACTAAACACATTGGTGGCTCCCCTCAACAAGATCAAGCTCTTAAATAGGTAAATTATAAAGATGACAAGTCAATAACATAGTCCATAGACCAAACATATGAAGTAGGCACGTGGCTAGTGGACATCTTCTCCTTTTCGTATACCCACCAATCAATGATGAAACTCCAAAATAAGTTTATGGTGACTAACCAACTCATAAATAATTTTAATTTTATTTGAAAATATTATAAATTTTGGACGACATTTTTATCAATCAATGTCAAGATCGAATAAATGAAGAGGTTTGCATGTTATAAATGGAAGTTCTTCATACATATTTTCTCTAGGAGTTATTAGTGACGCGTTATTTCAAATGAATCATAGAATGATTGTAAATTTTGGGAAATTAAAGTTTAATTTGTTGATTTGAGATTTCAACTACATGCATTTAGATTACCACGATTTGGTCATTCTTGAGCTACAACTATAAATTTAAATGGAACTATATAATTAAATTTCAAACAACCAATCATGTGACATAATATTAAAAATATGGGGCCACATCGACTTAGGATGGCAAATAAGCATAGATAAAGTGTCTTTGTCTACCACCAATACACTTTCGATGGAACCAAGAAAACTCATCCATGTATGGTCTATACAAGGTAGGATCAAGAACAGGCAATATCTTTAGGATTATGTTTGGTCAAATAGGAGCAAAGTTAAGTGAACAAGGAACTTATCCCATTAGTCACCACCCCAAATAAAGTGAATTTTTTTCTTTAATGTGTTTAGCATTATTGAGTACGGCATATATAACATATCGTTAAAGCATTCAATCGTGCCAGACTTATTATGTTTAAGAATATTGTGCACTCATGTTAAAAATATACTATTTTAATTTAAATGTCGAAGTCAATGAATTCTATATTATTCACATAAAATAGGAATCGCCCCTTCTTTAATTCGTTAGCTTTACTTCATTTCTTGTCACCATGTTTAGTGTTTATTTGGTACTGGTAACACACATATTATTTACGAATATATAAAGTATTCAATTGTGCCAACCTTATTTCGTTAACGAATGTTGTGCTCTCATGTTAAAAATCGCCTTATTTTGAATATAAATTTATAAATAGTTTATAAATTCAATCAAAGTCAAACATTGATTTCAACAATACATTCATACCTACTACTCATTATTTTCCACGTATAGTGAGACACATTAATATTTTTCTTATAATTTATAAATTTACCAAACGAAGATATGTTCGATATGGACTCGACGAATATAATGTTCAACATCTTTACAGATTCTCGGTAGCATTGCTTCTTTAGTTTGTCTACTTTTACATTAAATAATCATTTATTTAGAACAAGTTATTATATATAAAAATTAATCCCACATTAGCTAGGGATAAAGTAATATTTAGGTAAACAAATAACAACTGTTAGTGGAACCTAAGTAATTTAATCATTTAATGTTAAGTGGGATATATTGGATAGATTGCACTTTAATTGATGTGTATGTTGGACCTAACATTTGTTCGGCGCCCAGTTAAGATGCTTAAAAGCTGGATTTTCAAACCAAGTTGTTCCCTTTGAATAATCGAAAAATTCTTCTTTTCTTATCATTAGTTTTTTTTTAGTATAATTTCAAGTTATGATAAGGTATCATTCAAAGTTAGGGGTGATTACACGTTTCATATAATTCGATTCTGCGTGATTCGTGGACTTGTTTCGATTCTCTACGATAAAAAAAAATAACCTGATTTCTTTAAAAAGAAAAAAAAAAAAAAAGAATCAAACCATACTTAAAGTATGTTTGTTTAACCTTGCAAGTAGGATAACCTACTTTAAGGCACACACATATTGTTTAACAATGAAAAAAGAAAAAAGAAATTTGATTTCATCGGTCCACTTACGAAGGAATGCAATAAACTTTTATTCGTAAAAATCAAAGTTTAAGTTATTTTAAGGTAGATTAAGCCCATGCTTCGTACCAATTAAAAAATAGATTTTAATTTAAGTTAAAATCTATAATTCATTTCAACCATATATTTTATGGGTTCCACAACTTTTCAAACAAACATTTCATCAACTTATATCAAAATCTACTAAAAATCTGATTTTAATTCTCACCAATCAATGACTAAATAGGAACAGAAACTATTAAAAAAATAAGATAAAATACATATAGTTTTTTAGTGTATATCAGACATATACTAAGTGGCACCACCTTCCCTGTGTACTTTAGTGCAACGTAAGCTGAAGATGGATGTCAACAAGGCATCTCATGAGGTGGTCGAATTGGTAGAGTATGTGAGTGTGGAGATCTTTGGTCACGAGTTCGATTTCCCTAACCAACACTTTCTCGGTCGAGCATGTCGCACAGAGTTTGCCTAGTGAAATTTACTTGGCTAGCGTGATTTGTAGACTATTGCGTCAATCCGAGAGTTTACCTAGGACGCACTCAAAGGATAGCTGCTGCGGGTTCCCATAAAGGGGGGAAAAAAAAAAAAGAAAGGGACGGAATATGGATGTCAACAAGGTGGCTGATTGTAATAAGGTGAACTGTGACCTATACTGTAAAAGATCGACAAAACTTTAGTTAACATAGTTGGTGGATCTATGACTTAGCAGACATTCATTGTTGACGCATATCGTGTCTCAAGTCTACTAAAATGCGCAGAGCGGGTCATGTCAATTGGTACTATTAACATTTTAGGTTTTTCCGCTATGAAAAGTAAACCTTATTAGCTAGCACCCACCTAAATAGTTGGTGCACATGACAATCCTTTACAAGCTTTTATGAGTAATGAACGAGAGCCCACATCCCCGTGATGTGATCCACCGATAGTGTCGGCCGTCCCCATTAAAACCTAAATAATGCTATAACATCAGTTTATGTGATATTTAGGGATGACTAATCGAATTGTTAAAATCGAAAATCACGATTAATCTAATTGAATGAGACGAAAAAAATCGAACTGATGGCGCAATGAGATGAATATGATATTTGATTTTAATGCCTCGGTTTGGAACGTTACAGGTAGGGTATTTATGCTATCACCTCGCCCAAAATCGATTACCGATTAAAAAAATTAATTGAAAAATTGAGCTTTCCATTATTCTTTCTATGATTCTATCTAAACCAAAATTCTGGCCCATTACCGACTCGTTTATTTCAACTAACCTAACCCAGTAACCGTACACCCGACTACACAAATATTAAATATATATATGAAAATTGTTTGTTAAATTCAGAATTTACATTTGGAAATTGAGATATTTTTTGCATTTTCATTTGAGATATTGTTTGTTAAATTGGCTTAGTATTATATTTTTGTTTTCATTGATTTTTTTTTTACATAGTTTTTTTTTCTAATTTGATGGCTGAACCTATAAAAAAATATTTTATTTTTGTGATTATTAACCGCACGAACCGATTCAAATCAAACCAATTTATGTGGTTATGATGCAGTTACACTATGTCAAAAAAATTGATGGTTCGGTGATGGTTTTGGTCTAGCCGACCTCGAACCAAACAGTTGTCCACCCTAGTTGTATTATATAATAGGTTCAATTAAAAGTAAAATTATGTTCTTTATTTGACTATACTTTTCATTTATTGATACTTTGTGCCACCTAAACTAATATTATAATATCAGTAGTGTTCAATTGCATTACTCTAAAAATCCCATTCTCTCATTCAATTATTCGTGTCGAAAAATTATTTTCAAATAAATAATTCTATATAATATATTCATAGTTTGAAGAGAGAATCGCTGTAAAGATTGTTAACCGAGATCAAATAGAGTCATAGACAATACCTTCTAAAAACAAAAGAAGAAGAAGAAGAAGAAGAATATTCTAGATATCATCGACCAATATTTTCCTAATTAAAAAATGAACAGCGACTCCTTTCTATACTCTTCAATCTCTCATCTCTTTTTCTTCCGAAGGAATCTTTCGTTACTAGAACCTCTTTCGTTGTGAGAAGCAGCAACAGCATTTGTTCCATTTCCAGCTGGCCTATATTGCTCTCATCGTGGTACAAGAATAGAATAGGTGGCACAGGTTAGCAAGCAAGCATAGCTAGATCTAAGGTAAGCCAAGCCACTCTTTGAGAATCTAGCTGGGACTAGTTAAAGGTCTTCATTGATTTTTCCCAAAGGCGGGATCTCTAATTTGGAAATGATGCCCGTTTGGTTCCCCTCCCCCCCTCCCCCCTTTTTTTTCAAAATTTAATGCTTGGAATAGTATTTTTGGAGAATGTGTAACTAAAAAAAAAACATTTCAATTTACGTATAATATTATTTTATGAAAGATTGTGTGATTAAAAATAAGAGGAAAAAAATGAAAGAAAAATGAGGCCAAACAGGGCCGATATATAATACTTTCAATATTGTAAGTTTTTAAATACACGTTCCATTGAATGGCTTACTTGCTTTACACTAGACTAAGCTATTGAAATATGTTCGAAATTGAGCCAATTGTTATGAATATTAAAGATGAAATAATGAATAATGAAAATAACAATTACAAGAACTCAAGATTTACATGGAAATTTTAGACACGAAAAATCACAAACAAAGACGAAGAATTCACTATATCTAAAATAAAGAGTTACAATATGTTATGTTGGATCTCACAAGGCTTTTTTCTAAACTCTCTATCTACGGATCTATCTCTATTAATGTGGACTCATCAAATATGTGTAATACACTACATATTTATAATACGACAATTCCTAACATGCTAGGAGAATTAATATGTGGTGAAGTCCTAATACAATAGGTAAAACAAATAATGGGCATTTGGGTTGAAATGGCAAAACCCATAAAATTCAAATAATGTTGTCGTTTGAGCGGTGTCCTCGCGGTTAGCAAGCGGCCAAGGTCCTGATTAGAGAGCTGATGAGAGGCCAAGGTCCATCTTTTATCTTTTTTGACTCTTCATAGTCTTTTACCTCTTCAAAATTTCTCTACAACAACTAACTAATTTCAAATATACTTTCGAAATGGAATTCGGGTTACATCGGAATTCTAACAAAATATTCAGGAGTTGACTATCAAAATTTCATACAACATTACATCACTACAAGTTTATTCGAATTTTGACTAACATTACATAAATTCAAGTTTATTTTGATAAAATGAAATCTAATTATTATTCATAGATCCTTATTGTTTTAAAAAAATATAGTAAAAGCACCAAGTAGCTATTGGAGGACGACTTTATTACAAATCAAGATTAGAAAATCAAGATTTTAATTTCTTAGTGTTGAAAAACAATTAGGTTTCTCAATGTAAGAATCGAAGAGAAAGATGAATTTCCAAATATATTTGTAAAGAAGTATTTTTCTATTTTTTGTAAATATGTATGTTTAATCGTCTATTAAAATATATTTTATCTCAATTTAGTCACTGATACTCAAATGGTGATAATATAATATATTATTTTGCGTTTTACTTTTAGCTTTCACCAATTGCAAATCCTTCCTTCATAGTCGTGGCATTTTTTATTTTTCCTAGTTGCATGTTAATTTCATTTTTCGGATACCGTAAACACGTTTAACAATTTTAAAGTCTAAATTGAAAACTAGACATCTCCTTACAATATTGCACATAAATTGAAGACTCGCAGTCGTTGTATTTCATAGTTCTTATATGTGCAATCTTGTTGATGTATTTTCTTCTTCGTTTGATAATTTAGAAACTTATAGTTACATTAGCTAATAAGAAGAATGATTCTTCAATATGTCATTTTTCATTCGCTTTAGATTAACTATGACACTGGTGCATTGCTTGAAGTTATCCTAAGGTTCCTCAATCGACCGTAGCATGGAATCATTTTCATGGATCTTGATATTTATAAGCAATTAAGCACGAATTTGGCCGTTGGATCTTCACCCCTTCTAGGATCAACGGTTGACATCCCATATCCCCATTCAGAAGAAGTCGCGTCTTTTACACACGTTTTTCTGGGAAAATGTACGTACGATTTTCAATGACTTCAAAATTTTGTAGTGGAGGGAAAATCAAAGGCTCTTGTGTAAACTGCATGAGAATTCCTTTGAACCATGCTTGCAAAGAATGCAACTTATTTGATTAATCACCACAAGTTAATATCTGGGATAAACACTTCGATTAAAAAAACTTTTCTTAGACGATACTCCGTTTCTTTAATTCAATCTTGCTCAAAATCCACTACGAGAACCAACAAGCTTGTAATTTACTGCAACACCCAGATAACGGAACATGGCAAGAACGGAAATGTGCAGGAGGCCGAGTCGATTTTCCAGCGGATGCCTTTTAAAACCATTGTTTCTTATACTGCTATGCTATGTGCATATGCTCAGAATGGTCAAATCACAAAGGCCCGAGAAATGTTTGACGAAATGCCCCAACAAAATGTTGCCTCTTGGAACGCAATGATCACGGCTTATATGAGGAATGGGAAAAGATCGAACGGAATTGACGAGGCTTATAGATTGTTTTTGAGGATGCCAGAGAGAAATGCAGTGTCTTATGCTGCTATGATCACGGGGTTTGTTAATGTGGGCAGGTTTGACGAGGCCAAGAGATTGTATAGTGGGACACCTTTGAATTGGAGGGACCCGGTTTGTTCAAATGTTCTGCTAAATGGGTATTTGAAAATTGGGAAATTGGAGGACGCACTTCATATTTTTGAAGGAATGGTGGAGAAAGATGTGGTGTCTTGGAGTTCAATGGTGGATGGTTATTGTAAGAATGGGAGAGTCAGTGAGGCTAGAGAGTTTTTTGATGTTATGGAAGAGAAGAGAAATGAGGTCACTTGGTGTGCTATGATCAGTGGTTATTTTAAAATGGAGCGTTTCGAAGATGGGTTCAATTTATTTCTGCAGATGAGAAGAGGAGGGGAGGTGGGATTTGGACCTACACTGGTGACTGCAATATTTGAGGCTTGTGGGAGACTTGGAAAGTTTGAAGAAGGTATTCAAATGCATGGCTTGGTTTCCCATATGGGATTTGAGTTTGATGTATTCTTGGGAAATTCTATTATTACGATGTACTCAAGGTTTGGTTGTATGAATGCAGCTAGATATATTTTTAACACCATGAATAGAAAAGATCTCGTTTCCTGGAATTCTCTTATTAATGGTTATGTTCATGCTGGCGAACTTGAAGAGGCTTATCAGCTCTTTGAGAAGATGGAAGCCAAAGATTTAGTTTCTTGGACGACAATGATCACTGGATTCTCTAATAAAGGTTTAACAAAAAATTGCATTGATTTATTTAACAGGATGCCTGAGAGAGATGATATTGCTTGGACTGCTCTTATTTCAGGATTTGTGAATAATGGAGAACATGAAGAGGCTATCTATTTGTTCATTCAGATGCTAAGGAGTGCAGTCAGACCCAATCCTCTTACTTTGAGTGGTGTGCTTAGTGCCTCATCTGATTTGGCAATTTTAAATCATGGTTTGCAAGTGCATACTCATGCTTTTAAAATGAAGATGGAACTTGATTTGTCAGTTCAAAATGCTCTCATTTCTATGTATTCCAAGTGTGGAAGTTTAGATGATGCCTATAGGATATTCAAATCCATCGGTGCACCCAATCTTGTTTCCTTTAATTCTATGATTACTGGTTTTGCCCATAATGGATATGGAAAAGAGGCAATTCAATTATTCAGGCATTTGGAGAATAGAAGATTAGAACCAAATGAAATTACCTTTCTTGGTGTCCTATCTGCTTGTACCCATGTGGGACTTGTGGAAGAAGGATGGAAATACTTTGGTTCTATGAGAGCATTCTACAAGGTTGAACCAGGGCCTGATCATTATGCTTGCATGGTTGATCTCCTTGGTAGAGCTGGTTCCGTTGATGAAGCGTTACATTTGATCAAGTCAATGCCAGTTGAACCTCATTCTGGTGTTTGGGGTGCTCTTCTTGGTGCAAGTCGAGCTCAAGTGCGTCTTGATATTGCAAAGATTGCTACTCAACATATTTTAGAACTCGAACCCAATAATGCTGCTCCATACGTGGTGTTATCAGATATATATAGTTTTTTAGGGAAGAGGAGAGATGAAGAACAACTCAGATTGGCCAAGAGAACAAAAGGGATAAAAAAGAGTCCAGGCTGTAGTTGGATTACTGTGAAGAACAATGTTAATTTGTTCGTTTCAGGAGATCGTGCTCATATAAACTTTGGAGAGATCAAGATCACATTGTTGGCAATTTTTTATGAAATGAAACAGTTTCATTGCATGGACACTGATTGGCTACCGCCTTAAGAAACAGTGACATCCAACAGAATGGATATTTTCAAGATCACTTTTTGTATCATCCAGAACCATTTTGTGGTTGTTTACCTGGTAGTTTCGTTTACTCGTTTGATCAAAGTCTTACGCTTCTTTGAGAAAAGAACTCCTTCATAGTCTTGCATTCCATGTCCTTATATATCTAATTGTACAGGATAAGGCCATTTTTACTAACTAAAATGGTGCCTGAACTCTGCTCTTTTGATACTGGATGGTGAAAATTATCAAGACGAGTCTGTTATGACTTATGCATGTTGCTCCATAGTAGCTACTACATTGGTTGCTGTCTGAAACTTGAGTTGATCTGGTAATGTTTTACTCTCTTTATTTCCCTGATTTCTTGTCTTTCTGTGAGCTTGACAATGATTTAGGTCTTAATTGATGGCGAACATGCTGTTCCACGTGAATCATCTTGAGATCAGAAAGGTTGCAAGCATCAAGCATCAGGTATCGGAGTCAAGGACCTGATATTTAGGAGGTAAAATGTAATTAAAATTTTTGGTTGATTAATTAATTTTGCAGCTTCTTTGTATTCCAGTCGTACTCTGGCAACACTCGAGTTTCAGAAAAATGGAATGGATTCGTTTTTGAGCTTTTTGTTTTGTAGCTCCTTTCTGGAGAATAAAGCAAGAGTTTCCCTCTCAGGTCTGTAAATTCCATACGTCTCTAATGAGTATATACATTCCACTTTACGAAATTGTGTTGTTGTTAAATGAAACTAGATGTCTTGTGAATGAAGCCTACCAACGCTTTTATGGGATGATCAAAAGACAGTTAGAACTCAATTAGGTGGTTAATTCTTGACATGGCTTGGTTAACACATGATCTAATTGGTCACTTCCTCATGGTGCTCCTGAAAATTTTTTCTGATTTATTTTAGCATTTTATCTCCTATGTTTGCTTAAATCTTGGGGGAGACTCTAAGCTAGAAATCCCTGCGGATCAGGGAGATGGGAAGGAAAATGTGCTGCCATGGCAGCCAAGGAAAGATGAAGACTATAATCTTTCTCCCATTTCCCAACCGGCACTGGAAACCATTTTTTAGAAACTCTAGCCCCCTGATTAGACTTCGCCCCAAGTATGAGCAACAATCCTTACAATCTGCATTCATAAATACTGTATTTGGATGATATTTGTCTGAACAACCACCATCGTCTTGATGTCTCCTTAATCAGTAACAAATCTAGGAATGTGGATTCATTGAACAAATGTACAAGAACTATCTTGAGTAAGACTCTAATTATAGCAAGTCTTTGATTTTGTTGACAACTCCACTTTTATCAACTTACCTCTATTTAACAGGAATATCATTGTGAATGTTGTTGATGTTATTAAAGATTCTTGTTCTTTAAATAAAGCTGGAATGTACATAACTCTTTTACTTCGTTATTTATATTTGGTTTTATAGTTTATTGATCGATAGGGGAATGATTCTATCCTTTTTTCATAGTGGATTATTTATCCGTGGTATGGGAACCCATGGAAGTTTCCTTAAAGGTTTTAGTATGTTATATCGTGTGATATTATTAGTAGTTGGTTTGTGTTTATTGCTGCAAGATTAATTCTCGAATTTGCTTTCTCTTAAAATTCGAAATTTCATCTATTCATCGGTCTTGTCATGACTAAGATTGAATAGACCTTGGCAATTTAATTGTTCATCAAATTTAACTATAACTCATAATATTTAGGTCTACAATTTCACAGTACACACTACTATTCATCTTAATTATATTTGTTCTTTCATTCCAGGTAAAGGCTCCTTGAAGTATCAACTAATGAAGGAGGAACAATATTAGACAACTTGTCCCCTTAGCATTTTTTGTTATTTTTTATTTTTTTGCCGACCCAAAAAGAAATATTTTATTGCGAGTGAATGCACAATTGAGATAACAAGCCCACATATATAAGCCCCTGCGAGCTAAGTCTAATCCTCAAGGCTCATATCTATTCACCTTGGCGTAAACTCTAAGTTTTACAAGATAAAAAAGAAAGCTCATCTTTTGGCTTGGTAGCACAAAAATGGCGAGTATGATGCCTCGCTTGACGTCCAATATACAAAGCGGTGGCAGTTCATTTCTTCGAGGAAAAGTTTTTTCTCGAGGTTGAAGGTTTCTCTTTGTCGAATTGAGGACGAAGAGGATGGTTCCGTGAAACTTTTATCAAATTTCAACTAGTTTTTATCAAAATTTACTAAAATTCTAATTTATAAAAAAAATTAAAAAAGTCCAAACAAGGGCTATGAACCGATCTAGAGAACACTCATTGCACTCATTGTGTTCTTATGTTGTTCTCTAGTTATAAGCTATAATCACAGCAAAATTTACCTTCCGAAATAGGCAAAAAGCGTTACGAAAAACCTTTTGCAACGTTCAGATGTATGTTGTGGACTTCGATGTGTAGAATAGAAAGATACAACAACATGCAAAGAACGTTGCAAAAGGCATCAAATGAATGTTGTCATTTTGTTCAGGTAACGTTCATTGTGTGTTGTTGTTAACTTATTGTAACGTTTGCTGACTTTTGCCCTGATAATTTTTGCAACAATCAACGAACATTGTAAAAGGAACTATTAGAAGCATGCACAAAAAAATAGTTAAATATAAATTATGTTAGCCAATGACAACATACACTATTAGAATGTTCTAATAAACTTTTTTTAGCAAGACGCAATCAAGAATGTTGTCTTTTACATATTGCAAAAGGTCATTTTTATTGTAGTCTTGCCCTTGCCCTTGCCCTTGCCCTTGCCCTTGCCCATTTGTCTATTAGGGCAGGTTAATTTTGTGTTTATGTGATGTACAGAGGTCATGATTAGCCTTCCTCATAATTTATACTTAACATTTTCAAGTTAATAAAATTAATCTTAAAAAAATTAAGTATCATGTTTGATTATGCCTTTTAACTTTCTATAAATTCAATAAAAAGTAAAATCAGCAAGAGTAAAAATTAATTACATAATTTAAATCCAAAGAAAGACTAAAGTTTAGTTTTTGTATAATCGAAAAATTGCTGTCAGCAACATTTTGTGGTCTAAAAATATAATAACAGCCTATTACAAAAACAACATAATTTCTTGATGAATTTCACAATGAATTAAGTCATGCATCCATGCATTCCTTAAGATAAACTAGTTTGTGGTACGTCACATATGTTCATACTATACACTTAAAATAATATTAATTTCTTTTACGTAAGTTAATAATGCTTTCGACTACTGGACTTTCGCCATCTAAGGTGCAGCATTCGTGCTGCTTCGCCTAGCAACATGATGCTTGTATTGTTCTCCCACAACCGACGGAAGAAAAACAAGAATAGGGTAATGTAATTTATTTTACGACCCTCGTCATCACTATCGTCACAGCAAGCATCAAGAATGGAGAATAACACAATAAGTTAATTTTCAAAGAAATGAGAGAAGCTAGAATGTGGAGGATTTTCAAATTCTACAAAAGACATAATCACTCCAATTTATTTAGGACCTATTTTGAATACCCATTACTTCTGTTAGTGTTCTTGGTCTGCTTTTGCTTCTATTTCTACTTCCGAGTAGTTATTAGTAAAGACATTTACGTTCAAAACCAATTCTTGGACAGACTCTTAAAGTGAAATAAATTATACTAAAAAATAAGAAACAATAAAAAAATTGAACTAACTATTAAATGCTTCACCACTCCAACATTGCGCCCATCGGTATCCACCACACCTAGTGAAATAAATTATATTCGAACATAAAAACAATAAAAAAAAATAAAAATTGAACAAACTATTAAACACTCCACCACTCCAACATTGCCCCCATCGATGTGTCCACCACCCCTAGTGCTAGCAGCTGAAGCTGCTACTGCTAAGCTAGAATAGGGTGTAATAGTCTTTACGACCTTTCCACAATCACAAAACTGCTCTCTTCCCCGAATCGGGAAGAGAGCTTTTTCCCGATTTTCAATTTTTTATTCATTTTATTGCCTTTTGTCTTTTTCAACTCCCCCCCAACCCACCCACCCCCTACCCATTTACTAATTTTTGTACAGTATCTTAAGGGTACGATTTAAATCGTGTAAAAAAAATTTGTGCAATACCCTTAAGAAAAAAGGGAAAAAATTGATCTCATACATAAAAAAAAAAAAAATTTAAGTTGCTCCTGGCTGCAGGAAAAAAAAGGGGGGGAAAAACTTGATAAATTGCTCCGCGCAGCCAGGAGCACTTGCCAGGAGAAGAAAAAAAATAATTGGACAATTAATTTTTTTTTGTCAACTTTTTTAATACACGCGTTTGATGTACGTTTAACTATTTTTGATATTCATTTAGATCATTCGATATGTCTATGATATAGATATCGAAATGAACTTCTAGAGAATATAGAAGATCTATGCATTTGACTACCGTATAATCGTCTTTTTTTTTTTCATAAAAATGACCGAATTTTTTTATGTATAAAATTTTTTCAGATATAAAAATAATGATGATGAAAAAATAGTATAATAATTTATAACCCGCATAAATTATAAAGTGATAATAATTTTATTAGGAATTTTTACGTCCCAAAAAAAAATTGACGTCAAATCACATAAATTTGTTTTTATAAAATGATTTAAATTATATTGAAAAATTTGTTGCAAAAAAATAATAAATATTAATAAAATAAATTTTTTTCTTGAAAAAAAAGATGATTTTTACGCAATTTTTAACACATACGTTTGATGTACGTTTAATTATTTTCGATATTCATTTAGATCATTCGATATGTCTATGATATAGTTCTCAAAATGAGCTTCGAGAGAATATAAAAGATTTATTGATTCGACTAACGTACAATCGTCGAAAATTTTTTAAAGTTAGCTTGGTATCAAAAGTTTCGAAATACTAGTTTGGAAATGCCTATTTTGACCAGTCGTAACATTTGCTATGATTGACCGTTTCGCTCACCGTTAACGACTTGAAATACTAGGTCATGAGTACTTCAAAATGATATTAAAAATGTAATATTTCGATTTCGTTTGATATCCCATAATGAGCTCGAAAATCAAGATAAAAACATAAAAAAAAATTATGAATTTATTATCAATTATTTTTTTTCCTTCTCCTGGCTGCAGGGAGCAACTTATCAAGTTTTTTCCTTTTTTTTTTCCTGGCAGCCAGGAGCACTTGGCTGCTTGGAGCAACTTGATTTTATTTTTTTTCGAGTATGAGATCAATTTTTTCCTTTTTTATTAAGGGTATTGTACAAAATTTTTTTGCACGATTTAAATCGTACCCTTAAGATATTTTAAATTTTTAAAATACATTTTTTAACTATTTTTTTAAAAATTCATCGACAATTGTACGGTAGTCAAATGCATAAATCTTCTATGTTCTCTGGAAATTCATTTCAAGATCTATATCATAGACACATCGAATGATCTAAATAAATATCGAAAATAGTTAAACGCACATCAAACGCGGGTATTAAAAAGTTGACACAAAAAAATTAATCGTCCAATTATTTTTTTTCTTCTCCTGGCTGCGTGGAGCAACTTAATTTTTATTTTTTATTATTATTATTATTATTTTTTTAAATATGAGATCAATTTTTTCCTTTTTTATTAAGGGTATTACACAAATTTTTTTTATACGATTTAAATTGTATCCTTAAAATATTGAACAAAAATTAGTAAATGCGTAGGGGTAGGATAGGGGTAGGGGTGACGTGGGGAGTTGAAAAAGGCCAAAGGCAATAAAATGAATAAAAAATTGAAAATGGGGAAAAGGCTCTCTTCCCGATTCTGGGGAAGAGACAGTTTTGTCCACAATCATTAGTTACACTGTTTTCAGGATTTACACGTTTTTTGACATCACGGAAAGTCTTTTCGATCATTCCATCGTTATTTGTTACACTGCTTTTGAGATTTACATGTTTCTAGACATCATGGCTCACTGTCGAAGAAGATTGAGATTTTGCAGTCATTTTGACCGCAGGAGGCTTTTTTACACTGATTTTCTTTGCTGCTCTTGTTCCCTAAACAACTCAAAATTCCTGCAGTCACATAGCTATAAACGATTGGGACAAAATAGAAAAGGGTAATTAGCACAAAACGTCTCGATCTTTTATGATTTTTGTGAAAAACGTTTCAATCTTTCGTTTTTTGGCGCATTTCATCCTTATCTTTACCTTTTCTTGTACAAAACATCAATTTTCATCATTTTATCAATAAAAAGCTATAAAGTGACTAATATACCCTTCTATTTAAATTAAAAAAATAAAGAATTAAATGCAATCGTAGTTCCAAATTAAAAAAAAAAAAAAAAATTCTCCACCTCCACCTCCTCTTTTGAACTTTTTTAAAAATTGGAATCATGATTACAATTAATTCTTTATTTTTTTTATTTAAATAGAAGGGTATATTAGTCAATTTATAACTTTTATTGAAAAAAACGATGAAAATGATGTTTTTCACAAGAAAAGGTAAAGATAGGGATGAAATGCGCCAAAAACGAAAGGTATGGACTTTTTCCACAAAAATCATGAAAAGTAGGACTTTTTGTGCTAATTACCTAATAGAAAACATACCTCCAAGCTTTATCTTATTATAATCATTCATAGGGTGATAACATCGTCATTAAGAGGGTGTTTGGGAGTCATTTTTATATAAAAATACATTTTGAAATAGTAAATTGATGCG